TATAATTCACGTTCATCAAATGATCTTAGTTTATATCAGGTTTACTTGTCATTCCATGTTACATAATAATTATTACTTCGTTCACAAACATATGTCAGCTATTCTCCTTTTAGCATGTGTAACTGATTATGATGTGACCGCTGAACGTGTTAAATTGCCCCGATAAAGTGTTTTTTGGGTGTGACCGTTTTTTATATCATGCCATGTAATTTTTACATTACTAGCTACGGCCATTTTACAAGATCTAAGAGTATTCATCATCTCCCAAAGTGCATTTCTGCCAAATTACATATAGATATATCCATAAAAAGTTTAAAAACTGAAATTAGCAAATCTATATAGTGTGAAAACATATGTACAGGAAGTCGTTAAGTGGCCATCTTGAAAATGGTCGGACGTAATAGGCAGTGGTGATGCCCATACGTCTAAGATTGTTCGCTATGTTAAGAAGTACATTTCTGTCTATTTTGATACTCGTACCGCAAAAAGAGAAATTCTTATGCATCTTGTACTTATCTACTGCACTAGGCAACGCGACCTAGTTTAAATAGTGTACGATTATGAATGAGCGCTTTGTTTTAAATACATGCTTTTTTTTATCACATAATATCTTAAAAATGAGAAAAAAAGCTACTATAAAGTTGAGTGGGGCAACAGTCACTGTACAGTTGATGCAATTGGTATAGTTTGTATTATACAGTTGATACTAAAGAAATATTACGAAGAGAGTTGAAACTAAATTATTTATTGTTTTTTTTTTCAGAGTAAGACGTTAGAAATTAAACTATGATCTAAATGAAACAACTCCATAGTCACCTTCCCCAGCACCTACCGTGCAATGAAAAACAAAATAATTGTCAGAAAATAAAACTCCATACAATATAACGTATTTTAATCTATTTGTACGGTTGTAATAATAATACATAAAAAAGCGTATCGTTCGATACTCTCAGCTTTCTTACTTCATTTTTTTATCCCCAAATTGAACCCCATATAAAATAATCTAACTTAATCTAAATTAAGCCTATGTTTTAAAACACGTAGGTTATACTACCCTTCGCAACACTGTTATTCACCACATGGATGTTTTATCTGGTTTCACTTGCGTAATAACTTTTCTTCGGACAGTTTGCTAATAATACTGTTCAATTTCGATGACGAGGAACCCACTTTGGGACTAATAATGGCTGGAGACGGCTTGAATGGGTAATGAAGAAAAACTTTAATATAAGTTTAACATAA